TTTGCTGTAGAAATTGGAAACGTAATAGAAACAAGCCAAAAGAAAGAAAGTTTTTTTGTTTTGTGGTAATTCTTAATAAAGGTTTTTTTAAATCACTCTCCTTCTTGTTTTTCTTTTTTTATTATAAGTTTAATAATATTCAATATATAATTTTAATTAGCACTGTGTTGTTGTTTTAATTTAGTTTGATACAAGACATTCATTCATTCAGCATGCCTCCCGATAATTTATTTGAGCTTATTTTTGCTGCTAGCTGTTGCTGTGGTTGTTGTATTGTTGTGGCCCAAGTGAGTAGATGTTAAGGTTGGTGCCGTTGTTGCTGTGTTAACAGCATTGTTTGTTAATGTTTTTTCAGTTTTTAATTTATTATTTGCTGTTTGTTTACCAACAACGGCTGTTATAATATCTCCCCCACCAGAACCGCCACTCGATGAAGCAGCGGTTGTAGATTTTTCTCACTTTTTACCAGGAGGCGCCAATGGTTGGCCGCGATCTTTGCCTCGCAATTTTAAACCAATAACACGTTCAATTTTACCCAATACCATGTTATTGGGAATGCCACGGCCAGCCTCATAATCGGTAACTACTTGTTGTTTTTCACAAATTTTCTATAACGAAGAATGATAGATATTAGCAAAATGTTTGTTCAGCATATTTGTGGGATTTACTTACAGTAGCGAGATCCTTTTGACTTAAACCTTTAGCTTGACGTCCTTGCATAATAATTTTTCCCACTTCTAGAGGAACTTTTTCATGGCGCAACTCTTCAGTCTCACGATCCAATTTGGCAGTGTTCTTAGTTGTTACATGTTGTTTATTGGTGCCAGCACCATCTGAAAATATTGGTAACGGTTGTTAATTAAAAACGAACTTAAGTTTATATTCTAAAATTAGATTGAAAATACTTCTAATCATACAGACTTGTCTATAGATTAGTCTACAGTTTTTACTATATATTTGCCTATAATCTTGACTAAAGATCTTTCTATAGTCTTGGCTATACATCAATCAGTCTATTGTCTTGACTATAGATCATTCTACAATCAAGAATAAGATCACTCTTCAATCTGGGATATAGATCATTCACGAGTCTTTACTACTAATCTATCTGTAATCTTATCTATAGATCTGTCAATAATCTTGGCTATAGATCAGTCTATAGTCTTGACTCTAGATCATAGTACAGTCTTGATTATATTTCTGTCTATAAATTAGGGTACACTCTTGGTTATAGATCAGTAACTATTCTTTACTATAGATCTACCTATATAAATGACTATAAATCATTCTAATCTTGAATATACATCTGTCTGAGCAGATACACTCTAAGATGGGTGTAGGGCAAATATTTTTGGGTGCTACAAACATTAGCACAAACGCATAATATGTACCCGCTCCACTATAGTGGTGTAGGGTATACAAATCAAAAAAAATTGTTTTAAAATTTATTAAAAATATATTTCTATTCTGAAAACACAACAAATTGGACTAAATTTAGAAATCTCTATGCTAAATTTAGCAACAATCTGACTTGTTTACTTCTCCACAAAATAAAAACAAATGACGTTTTGGAAAACAACAAAAGAAACCATAAGAATCTATGAAATCTTCACAAACATATGATACGTGTGTATAACTTTAAAAATATATGTATGTATAAAACCCGAGAAGATTCTTCCTAGAATGACTTTCTCTAAATGTCATTTAGTTTAGATTGATAACAAACAACTAAATAGAACTAAAAATAGGTCAAATATTATTAATGGCTTGGTCGGCATGTGTGTTTGTGTAAAAAACAAAAACCCCAACATCACCAAAAACACATACACATGTTAATGCCGCCCCCTGCAATCCCCTTTATTTTTACTCCAACTTTTTTTTAAACAATTAAATACTGCCGGAACCCAACACCAGCACAAAAGTTAATTAAACTTTACATTTTTTCACACAATGCACATGTGTTTTTATTTTACTTTTTTTTCTGCAGTTTATGAAAACTAGCAAAAGTATGATGAAATTAGCCAAACAATACAAATCGATAAAGAATTGAAAAGAATGTTTAAAAAAAGAGAAACAATAACATTTAATAAGGTTATCTAGAGATCCATGGCAAAACCTAACCTTAAAACTTTGCCGTGGATACCATAGTCTTTTTTTCTTTTAAACACGTATTTGGAAAAAAAGATGAAATGAAAACTTACATTTTTGTTGGGTATCAACTTGTACACCTTGGCGTCTGGCGGCATTAATGGCTGCTTCAGTTTTAAGAGCACCGGCCTTTGGAGCTTTCTTGCGCAGTACGGTTACTGTATCCCAATCTGACATGTCTGCTGTATAGTCGGTAATGTGTATGTGTGTCTATATAATTTTCTTAATTGTGGTAATGTAATAAAAAGTAGATGACTAAATATCTGTGGCAATAATAAAATATATAAAAAATTATTATAATTTTTAATTTATACACTACTTTATGAAAGTATTCACTTGTTTTCTAAAACTATTATTAATTTACTAAAGTCCGTGCTTACAATTTTCTTAAATATATCTTTTTTCCAGAAAAATCCAAAATATACAATGACAATTGCAGTGTCAAGAAAACAAACAGTGAAATATTCTACAGGGTTGCATAGAAGTGTAGTTTTTGTATATACACGTGAAAAAGTATGGGGAAAATGTTAAACATTTCTTTTTTTGGTAAATAAATTTTGAATTGAATAACATCAGCGTCATATTCAATGAAAAATCGGAACTAAATCATTTTTCGCCTTAAAAAATACTTGTAATAATTACAAATAAAGAAATTTAATTTTAGATAATTTTTAAAAATAAAAATTTTAAAAGAAAGTCGTTTTTGAAATAGTTAAATATTATTCGAAAAATTTGGAGAAATTATTTGTTTTTTACAATATTTTTTAGAATTTTTTCAAGAGGATTGGATATGGCATTTTTTAATATAATTTTTATTTATTCTTTCATTCAATTACAGAATCCTAGCCAAAGGCCATAATCGTCTCCAAACACACTACTAATTTAGGAAATAGCAGAGTTGTATAATTAAAAACTATTAGATTTGGAGTAGATTTTGCCGAAATCTACAAACGAAGTAGAAATCCAGTTAAAATTAACTTTAATTGGTTCAAAATGTCATGAGTATTTGATTTATTTGTAGTGTAATAAGCTATATGTCCCGATTTTATAAATGACAATTAAAAAATAAAGATTTTTAAATTATTTGCTTCCCAAATTCCATTTTTTAATCATAGGCATTCCTTTTTATTTAATATCATTGAAAAATTTAAAAACTCATCAGAAAACCATAACCCAATGGGTTAAGCCGCCGCCTTTAGTGCCAAACGTCGCCGCACTTAATGATTATCGGCGCAGGGTTCTACCGACCAATTGACAGAGACCCGCGCCGATTCGGCTTTGTCAAAACCGCCGCCGCCGAAAATTGTTCTGCTTAATACGCCTTAAAAATTTTGCCATATTTTGTATAATTTACAGAACACTTTCGCTAAATTTATAGAATTTTATAATATAAAATGAATTTGTTTTCATTTAAGCAAGTTATCTTTTATCTAATAATAAGCCGCTCATTAAAATTTGGCCGGTGTAAAACTTTGCACAACATGTGTATTTTAAATGGGAAATGCAGTTGATGTCAATTCTGCCGACTGCGAAAAGAAATTCTGCAAGAATTTTTCGCGCCATACTGTTTTCTGTTTTTTTTTTTTTTTAAATCTGTTGTGGTGTGTGTGCAAAACTTTATAAAGAGACAGAAATAATATTCTTTAAATAAAAAAATGTTTTTTTAATAACAATTGAACTTAGAAATTAATAATTTTATGCTATACTATTATACCGAGGGTCATTGTGCAACGAAACAGGCAAGTGTTAGGTTTAATTAAGTTGAACTGTTAATAACTATGATGAAAATGTTTTTCCAGGCGGGGTTTGTTTTCGTTTAATACCCAAAAGTGTTTATTGAAATCTACCGAGTGTAGCACCCGAAATATTGAATATGAATTAAGATCGTGTGGTGTGCTTTCAGTCATGCTCTTGTTGTCTCCAAACCCTATGGTGACCGAATATTTACAAGAAACAATTGTTAAGCCATCTTTTATACAAATTTATCGCACTGCTGTAAAGAGTGTACTCGCGGACGTCTTATATAGATGTTGTTTGGGCAAAATATTGGTGTTTGTTATTTACATAATTGCAATGCTTGGATCCGGTACTAACCATTGTGGGCTTTATGTCGACTTTGGATCCCTTAGAGTTGTCACACTGAAGGTATCCTTCCGAGATGGTTTTTCATCCAAATTCTGTTTTGTGATCATTGAATTTAGACTATGATGAGTTCGTTGAATTTTGGTTCAACCTGGATAAAAGCGTACGGAAAAGAAACAAATAGTTCCAGTTGTAATGGTGTACAATGTAATACTGCTGTAACGCCTATTACAGTTGCTAAGTTTGCAGGTTTGTTGTAAGGTGGGCTACAGAAAATGACTTTAGCGTGCATAACTAACATAAAAATGCCAGTGTAGCAATAAAATATAATGTGATCGAGTTTTATATCAATCGAAATCTCTATAGGTCATAATTGACCCTGCCCCCCCATATAAGGTCACCTTCAATAATTGATTTTAACGTTTTTTACGGACTTAATAATACGAGCATTATGATAGAATTAAAAAGATTACACTACGCGGCAAAAATAAATACCGATCATCATAAAAGTTGGTGAAACGATTTGTTTTTAATTTTTAAGAATTAATTAAATTAAAATTTTTTTTATTTTTTTCCATCCCTTCATAATTTCTCACACAACTTTTGTGCTTTATTTTTATAAATTATATACAAAATTCCACTTAAAAAGTCTCTCGGATTCCGTTTTTATTTAAAATCTTTGAAAATTTTAAAATTAAGCGTTTTTAGAGAACTTAGCCAGCTTACAGTCGATTTTAAGTCGCCGCCAATATTTTTAGTGTCAGCCGCCGCCGCACTTAATCTTTGTCGACGGAGGGTTCTGCCGACCAATTGATTCATTTATTTAGGATTTTGTGAGAAATTCAATTGTTTTGCATTAATTTTCTGTTAAATAGAAGTTTTAAGTTTTTGTTTTAATTAAAAACTAAATATACACAAACAATGGCGGATTCTGAACATGAAAAGATTGAAGCAACCAATGAAGTGACACCTACCACTGAGGAAAATAATAGTGCAGAAGAAACCCCACAAGCCCCATCAGATGTTGTGGCTAATTGTGAGAAAGCCTCTTACAAGCCGAATGTAATACCCGGTGAAAAGTTAGCCTCCATTGAGGATGTAGTAAATAGTGATCCTGAGTGCTATGAATTGGATTTAAACCATCATCGTATTGATAAATTGGAAAATCTAGAGCCTTTAACCCAGTTGGAGCGCCTTTTACTGCGCTGGAATTTAATTAAGAAAATTGAGAATCTAGAAACTTTGACCAAGCTGGTGGAAATTGAGTTCTATGACAATCAAATTACAAAATTGGAAAATTTGGATGCTTTAGTTAATTTGGAAATACTCGATGTCAGCTTCAATCGTTTGACTAGAATTGAAAATTTGGAAAATTTAAAGAAATTGGAAAAATTATTTTTGGTTGGCAACAAGATAACTCATATAGAAAATATTGGTATGCTAACTAATCTCACTATGCTGGAATTGGGTGACAATAAAATTAAAACTATTGAGAATCTGGATACATTGGTGAATTTGCGTCAACTATTTTTGGGTAAAAATAAAATATCCAAAATTGAAAATCTCGATAAATTGGTGAATTTGGAAATTTTAAGTTTGCAGGCTAATCGTATAGTTAAAATTGAAAATCTGGATAAGTTGACTAATTTGACGGAGCTGTATCTATCCGAAAATGGCATAGAAATGATAGAAAATTTGAGTAACAACAAACAATTGGACACTTTGGATTTGGCTAAAAATCGTTTAAAAAGTATAGACAATATAGAGGAACTGGGACAGTTGGAGGAGCTGTGGCTGAATGACAATAATATTGAAAATTGGAAGACTATTGAAAATATTAAGCATAATAAGTCTTTGAAAACTATTTACTTGGAATATTGCCCCGTATCCAAGGATCCTATGTATCGCCGTAAATTGAAAGATATAGCTCCTTGGTTGGAGAAAATTGATGCTACTCTTTGCCGATAAATGAAAAGTTTGTAATAAAAAGTTTTTATAAACTTTTTTTTAATGGGTTCATACTTTTTTTTTTTTAATAAAACTCCACCTTATTTATGTTTAAATATAATTTGTAATTGTGCTAGAAGCACTTTTAGATGTTACCCAATAAACATCGATTCAAACCTGTGAATATTTTTGAAAATTTTCTTAACTAAATAATGTATTTTCCAAATTGTTTTCAAATTTTAAAGTTTAGCCTTTAAAATAAATATGATAATTTCCAAAAACGTTTAAAAAAATATAATGTGTGATATTTATAAAATTTTCAAAGTTTTGTTTTAATTGAACTTAGAAAAGTTTCTTTCAAAAAATAAATTATTTTAGAAAAATAAAAACAGAACACTTTTTCTACAGCAAGGGAGCGAAAAAACGTTAAATATAGGAGAAATAATCGGAGATATAAAAGAAAAATATGCTAAAATAAATGTATGAATGTTTTATTTTCAGGTGATGTAAAAAAATATATGAATTTTGCAATAGTTAGCATTATAATTAGGGTTTGAAATATGTATGAAAATAATAATAAAGAATACTTGAAATACGTTTGAAGATTTTTTTAGTTTCAAGCTTACATCTAGCCTTTTTTTTAAATTTGCAATACATTTGAAAAATATGTTTGATTTCTAACTGCCTTTTTGTTTGAGAAGGCCATAATTTTCCATTTGAAAACAAAAATTTTCAAATTTGTTCTCAAAGGCTATGTATGAAATTTGAATAGGTTTTCAAATACATATTTACATCATTTCAAAGGTTTTTGCTTATTGGGTAAAAACTTTAATTTTGTGTAAAATTATAATTAGATTTTTAATAAAGAATACAAAAAGTTGTAATAAAATCGGTATTTATAAATGTACTATTTATTGAAGTTGTTTTATTCAAAATAATGTGATATTCGTTATATGTTTAGATTTGAAAAGATTTACAGATAACGATTTCCTCAACTAATTGAAAACGTGTCAATGTTGTCATAAATATCTGCTTAATTTATCTTTCCCTTTTATAATTTAAATTTTAAAAACATTACATGGTATCAAAATGTTTTACTTTTTAAGAAGAAACTTTATAAAATAAGGTAAACTGCATAATTAATTACATGACTAATAGAAATCTATATTTGTGTAGACAAAATAAGATAAGATAAATTTAAGCTTCTCAAACACTACAGCTTTTTATGTAGAACACAATAAAAAGAAAATGTTATTAAGAAATTCAAATTAATATGATGAAATTAAATAAATAATAATAGTTACATTATTTTTTTTTTTTTAATATTACAAAAGTACTTGCCAAATTTACTAAATTTTCAATTCCAATTTTGGAATTTCCCAATCCCCAGCCTACAAAAAATAATTTATACATAACTTTTTTTTAGATTTTTTTTATTTAGTTTTATATTTGAAATTTTCTTATACGAGTTAATTAAATATAATTTTAATGAGTAAAATAAAATTAGAAAAATTACTTCATAATTTTATTTTAGTATTATTTTTCTTTTCTTGATTTTGTAAATCTTTACATGTTTTTTTTTTCTTTTTTTTTTAATTTTTGTACAAAAAAATATATATGCGTGTAGATATATGTACATTTATGTACTGTATTTACTATATATCAGTAATTTACATTTGATAACTTAAAATACTATATAGTAGATGTTGGAAAATTTTTTAATTTAAAAACTGTTATGTGTATTTGTGTATAATTATTTAAAATCTTATTCAAAATTGGGTTTTGGGTTCAAAATTGGATCTGTCGGTTAGTGACCAAAAGGAATGACACGTTGATAATAATTTTCTATAATTATTTTAGTTTTCAATGACGAATGAGTTATGTTATGATTTTACCTATTTCATCTATGTTCGAAAATTTTCTGTTTAAACAGAAAATATTCGAAAATTTTATATTAAAATAGAAAATAATGGAATTTTTTTATTAATGCAGAAAATATTCGAAAATTTTCTATAAAAAAGAAAAATGTCAATTTTTTTATAAAGGGAAAATTTTAAACTTTTTTATAAAAAAAGAAAAATTCAAGAATGGTCTATAAAAAAGGAAAATTTCAAAAAAAAATATTTTTAAATATACAGTACTTTCCAATAAAGAACTTTCCAAAAACTTTTTATAAAAAAGGAAAATTACAAAAATATTTTATAAAAAAGTGAAAATTTTGAATATTTTTTTATTAAAAAGGGAACATTTTCAAAAATTGTCTATGAAAAAGACATTTTTTATAAAAAATACAACATTTAGAAAATTTTCTATAAAAAAAAAAAATCAAAATTTTATAAAAATTATAAAAACAAAAAATATTGGAAATTTTGTTACTAATACAAAAAATATTCGATAATTTTCTATAAAAAAAGTAAAATTTCAAAGATTTTCTAAAAAATAGAAAATTTTCTATAAAAAGACACAGTTTTTTTATAAAACAATACATAATTTAAAAAATTTTCTATTTTAACAGAAAATATTCGAAATTTTTTTATAAATACGGAAAATATTTGAAAATTTTTTAAACTTTTTTATAAAAAGGAAAATTAAAAAAAAATCTTTTAAAAAATACAGAAATTTTCAATAAAGAAGGAAAATTTCAAAAATTTTCTACAAAAAAGGAAAATTTTAAAAATATTTTATAAAATTTTGAATATTTTTTTTTAATTTTTCTATTAAAACAAAAAATATTGGAAATTTTGTTATTAATACAGAAAATATTCAATAATGTTTTTATAAAAAAAAGGAAAATTTCCAAAAAAAAAAGGGAACATTTTGAAAATTTTCTATAAAAAAAGACACAATTTTTTATAAAAAACACAAAATTTAGAAAATTTTCTATTTTAATAGAAAAAAATTCGATTTTTTTTTTATTAAACGAAAAATTTTAGAAAAATTAATAAACTTTTTTATAAAAATAGCAAAATATCAAAAAATACAGAAAATATTCAGAAGTTTTCAATAAAGAACGAAGATTTCAAAAATTTGCTATAAAAAAATTAAAAATATTTTATAAGAAAGCAAAATTTTTTATACAAAATTTATAGAATTTTTTATAAAAAAGAAAATTAATTTAACGTTTTTCTATTAAAACAGAAAATATTGGAAATTTTGTTATTAATACAGAAAATATTAGATTATTTTTTATAAAAAAAATGGAAAATTTCAAAAATTTTCTATAAAAAAGGGAAAATTTTGAATATTTTCTATTAAAATTTAACATTTTGAAAATTTTCTAAAAAATATATAAAATTTTCTATAAAAAAGACAAAATTTTTATAGAAAATACAAAATTTTGAAAATTTTCTATTTTAACTGAAAATATTCGAATTTTTTTTTTGTTTTATCAATACGGAAAATATTTGAAAATTTTCTATAAAAAGTAAAATTTCTATAAAAAAGGTAAATTTTGAATATTTTTTTTATTAAAACGAAAACAATTTGAAACTTTTCTGAAAAAAAAAAAACAGAAAATTTTGAAAAATTTCTAAAAAGGTGAAAATTTCAAAGATTTTCTAAAAAAAATGCAATTTTTTTTATAAAAAATACAAAATTTTGAAAATTTCGTATAAAAATAGACTAAAATTCGAAAATATTCTTTAAAAAATTAGTAATTTTAGAAAATGTTCTATAAAAAGACAAAATTTTGATAATTTTTTGAAAAAAAGTAAAAATTTAGAAAACAATTCGAAAATGTTCTATATGAAAAAAAAAAGAAAATTTTTAAAAAAGTAGAAATTTTAAAAAATTTTCTAAAAAATCACAATTTTTTTATAAAAATATTAAATTAAAAAAATGCAAAATTTTGAAAATTTCCTATAAAAAAAAAAAAAAAAACGAAAAGATTCTAAAAAAATTACAAAATTTTGAAAATTTTCTATAAACACAAAATTTTGAAAATTTAAAAAAAATCTTAGAAAATTTCTTATAAAAAAAAATTAAATAAAAAGAGACACTTTCGAAAATGTTCTATAAAAAAGATTATTTTTTGAATTTTCCTTAAATTGAATTAAAAAATAAAGTTTTCTATAAAAAATTTAAAATTTCGAAAATTTTCTATAAAAATGAAGAAAATTTCGAATATTATCTAATAAAAATTAAGAATATTTCAAATATATTCTATGAAAATTAAGAAAATTTCGAATATTTTCTTCAAAAAAAAAAAAATATAAAAAAAGAAAGTTTCGAAAAAAGTATTTTTTAGAGAATTTATCAAATATTTTCTTAAAGAGAATACGTTTGGAGGTAAAAGCTCAAAATATCGCAAATTTAATCAATCATCCTCAGATAATCGTGCTCCAGCGCCTATGAGTTTTAGAAAAGGTTAATCCTTTTACATCTAAAGAGAAAATTAATTGATTTATTAGTTAAATGAAATGTTAGCTAAAGTTTTCAAAACTTTGATGAGACCATTTAATTAAAAATACTTTTGGTATTATCAATTCACTATTTCGTGTTTAATATTTTGATTTTTAATGTTTTCTATAGTTAAGTATGTATTAATAAATAGTATTTTATAAATAAATAAAATTTTTAAACTATTAATTGAATAAAAAATGTATAATGTGTTTTATTCAAATAATAAAAATATGGTGGGGGTGGGTTTTATAGTATGGGATATGCTGTAGTGTGGGTGTGTGTGTATTTAAGTAAAAATATGTTTTTTTAGGCAAACAAATAAAATAAAAAAAGAAAATCATAATTTAAATTTTTAAGTATTATTTATTGCAAATAAGAAACTTATAAATTAAGAAAGTCTTAAAAGTAAACTAAACTTTTTTTATGTTTTCAAAATCACTTGCACAGTTTGTTTTGTTTTAAAAGTATAATAAAAAAAATTGAAAAAATAATTGAAAAAACTAAAATAATTTTCAAAAATTAATCTCGAGCTAAAATAATGAAAATTATAATAATAATAAAAAAAGAAATAATTATCATGTGGCTAACAATATGGAACAAATTACCAAACAAATAAAAGCTAAAAAATTTGTTATTAAATATTTTATAACTATTTTCCAAGTTGTCAAAAATGAAATTAAACAAAAAGTGATGTAAATTGAAAAATAGTTTTTTAGAGTTTAAAAGAATTTTTTAAAAAAATATGTTTAAAAATATTCTATTTAAGAACTAGCATTACTTCCCCCTTCTGTTTTAACAGCTGCAGCATAACTATTTGATGAGGATGAGGATTTGGCTTCTTCTTTGGAGGAAGAGGTGCCACCGGTAGAGCCAGGAGAGGGATTTGTTGTAGCCGTAGCACCAGCTGCAGCGCCAGCTACACCTAAAGATGGTGAAGAATTAACTAAAGGTATGGTTTAGTTAAAAAAAAAATTAAAGATTTTAAATTGAAATAAAAAAGAAACAAAAAAATTATTTAAACAGTAAATTACCTCGAACGTCTATAGCATAACAGTCATCAAGACGCAAGTCATGTTTCTTAATCAATTGACATTCAGCTCCCTCTATTGAGGGTATTGAATATACATATAAATAACCATCTTGGGAAGCAATAAGAAGTCTGAAACAAAATTAGAAGAGAATAAATTTGTGAAAGTTAAATTTCTTTTGTGATTTTCTTAAAATATTACCTTAATTGCTTTTGTATTTTGGTTATGGCACACATACGTCTTACCCCAGCTTCGGGTAGAGTTACAGAGGCAAAGGCTCGTCCCTGACTGAAAACATCTGTAACTTGGGTTGGCAAATAGCTGGATACGGTCTTGCTAAGGAATCTAAAAAACGAGTAACTTTTTTGAAATGTGAGATGTGAAGATAATAATGTATGGATGTGGATAAAGTGGTGGTGAGTGAACACAACAGGATTAAAATTAAAACAATAACAGTTGTTTACAGTTGGGTTGATACGTTAGTTTACGAAATTTCAAATACGTTTCGAGAGATAAAGTACCAATATATACACAAAACAACAAATAAATACAGTAAAGTGATGGATTTGGTTTGAGATTGGTGAGTTGTTTAAGTAGTAGTGTGATCATA